ACAAGAGGGTGACTAAAGGAACTCCTCTGCAGCCATCTGCTGATGGCAGATACATGTTTAAACATTGTGTGTGAAATAAACCTGTGCATGCATGAACTGGTACCCGATAAGTAACACATTGTACTTACCCTCCTGATTTAAATTTTTGCTGCTTAAACTGATTTTTAGTCCAAATCTGCCAACTTCCCCAAATCTAATATTCTAACAATTTCTTAGAGATCTCCAAACCTATTGTCTACAGAACTAGACTAACCTATAGCACTAGTTCACTACTCTCGTTTGGCTGCTGGCTGTTAACCTAAATAGGTTAATCAGAAGTTTTTAAAACACCTTTTCCTATACTGTAACTACTTCAGTTTGACACACCTGAAGTAATGACATCAACACAAATTAATCCAATGTGTTAACTTTCCTTTTAATAAAGGATACACATCTTAATCCACTGCCTCAGATTTTCTTCACTTCCTTGTATTTCAATTACCCTTAAGTTTATTTTTTTAAGATGAAGGGAATTTTTTTCCAGCTTAAATTGTATTTTTTTAGCTATAAAACTTACCTCACATTGTATTTCTATAGTACAAAAATAGTAAAAAATTAATAAGATTATGACTTCATTTTTCAAACTATTTATTACAAATTAGACGAACTGTCTTGTTATTAATCAAAATTTAATATGAAAAATTTTTAACACTTCATATTTTTCCCCAGAAAAGGAGTGTCCTGCTTCTTTACAGTCTTGGCTGTCAGTGCATTTTGATGGCACAGAAAATAACTCTCAAACATTCTTTACAACTTTGTTAGAATGTACAAAAGATATGACTTAGAAACAAGGGATCCCACGGTGAATTAGAAAAAACATTTTTTTCCCTCCAAATTTTAAGTGTTGTGAAAGTTGTATTACAGAATAAATACTTGCATATAATCTCTCGAGACAAAAATTACTTTTACATTTTTCATTTTGTTTCATCTTCCTAAAAACATTTTGAAAAGCAAAAATTGAAGATTTTTCCAGTAGCCCGAAACTTCAAAAATCTATTGTACTTTGAAACACACCCACACCACCCACCCACAGCAGCAGCAGCACTTAAATCGTTAACTCACAAAGTGTGGGCAGCAGCCATGGAAGACCTGGTCTGGTGTCCAGGCCCAGAACCTCTGAGCTGTCATCATTCATTATAACATTTAAATCAAACCACAGGTGAGAGAGATGTTCGTGGAGCTATGAAGAGAAATACCAGGTTTCTGTAGGAGGATCATGTTGTCTTTGATGCACTTTAATATATCTATTTAATGGAATGAACTAATCATGTATTTGTGACCCAATATAATTTCAAATTTTCCCCAAAACTAATTTTTCAAGCATTGTGGAATAAGTTCCCTATCACCATCTTTTTAACTATCAGTCTCTCTCACTCACTCTCTCCCTCTAGCTCCCCGAATTTCCCTACCATGCCCTTACCATGTAGCAATAGAGAGACCATAATCTAATGCAAATCACTAATGGGAAAATTCCACTATCTTTTCATTCCATTTCCTCACGGACTTTTGAATCCCCTTCCTATATAAGCCTGCTCTTTTATTAGACTTACAGTCTTGATCACTGAAGCAGTCTGTGCATAACACCCCACTAGAGACAGTGCTCGGGTTGTACGTCAAGATCACGAAGTGAAGGCCTTCGGCATCTACAGGAGAAGAGGCGTTCTCTCTCCGGCCGACTGCCCCCCCTGGAAGAACTCTCTGATGTGGGCTAAGCGGCCATATATCCTCTCACTCAGTGGAGGGATGTGGTGACTAGGGTCCAAGATGTTTGTTACTCTGCGTGCTCTCTCTGTCTTCCATAACTTGTAAGGGTGGGGAGGGAAGAAAGGTTGTCCTTTTTCTCTTCGAATCTGTAATGTAATCCCACTGACAGCCAGCATCCCCCATACAGCCAGAATAATAAAGTCTGGAAGGGAAGAAACAAAACAGATGAGTCGAGTTTCAACTCTTGTATTTTAAAACCTACCAGAGATATACCACCTAACCCTGCCTGCTTAAATGTGTACCTTCCTCTCACAAGATGAGACGCCCAGTTGGATCAGTCCAAGAATATATGAGCAGGCAAGGTCTATCCGTTCCTGGGTCATTAAGTCGTTCAGTGGAGTTGGTTAGAACAGATGTACATGGATCTTATTCCGCTTCCTCTTAGTACAAGAAAAAGCCTTTTAATGAGTCAAAAGCTGCACAGGCAGCAAGTGAAGGGCTTGTACTCTTAATGAATTTGTTTTGAGGAGAGGTTGGTTCAAATGTTTCCAAGGGAAGGCAAATTAAGGTAACATGAAAGTGCCAAGTTGTCAGATGTTCATATATTTTTTTCTCCTCCCTTGTAAACCAAGGATGGAGTGGGGGAAATATAACTTACATGTGAAACTAGGAGCTTCTATTACAGACATTTCCAAGTTTAGACAGGTTATAAATCCTGTTGTACAGATTCTTGGCATTCCATGGCATTACCAGTGTGCACAGCCCAGTGGTTTGTTGAGTGTTTGGGGAGTAGGCAACAAATTAGGTATACCGTCTCTACTTGTGTATAAGCTGAGTTTTTCGGCACATTTTTTAAAAAATCAATTGATTGGGGCTCATACAATTCATCACAATACATAGATCAATTGTGTAAGTCACATCTATACATTTGTTGCCCTCATCATTCCCAAAATTCGCTTTCCTCTTGGGTTCCCAGAATCAGCTCATTTTCCTCCCCCCACTCCTTCCTCCTCCCCCCTCCCCCATGCACCCTTGAAAATTTATAAATTATTATTATATTTGGCACATTTTTAATGCAGTTTTTGTGGTAAAATTAGTTGCCTCGGCTGATATTCGGGTCGGCTTATACTCAAGTATATACAACACTTCACATGTGCACATCCTGGAACAGAACGCACCACACTAGTCTCTCTCCCATTTCCACCGGGAAGGGCTATAACTAGGTGTGGCTCTGGTACAGTTTCCCGCAACTGCTAGCACTTATGCAGAACAGAGAAAATGCCCGAGGAGTCAACAGATTGTACTGAGCTTTTCTAACAGTAAAAAAAAAAAAGAAGCTTGGCAAAAGCATTGCCCTGTACTTAGAGCTTCTAGAATGAGGACTTCAAGGTCTCTACCAGAACCTCTCAGTCAAAAAGAGGCTCCAAGTACAACAGGGAAAGATTTGCCCTAAAAGAAAGTCATACTTGTGCTCACACCACATTATCTTCAATTCTAAGGTAAGCTTTTCTCTACTTTCCATATTTTTAACTGCCATCGAGTGGATGCAGACTCATAGCGACCCATAGGACAAGGTAGAACTGCCCCTGTGAGTTTCTTAGAGTAACTCTTTAAGGGAGTAGAAATCTTTCTCCCTCAGAGAAGCTGGTAGTTTCAAACTGCTGACCTTGCAGTTAGCAGCCTAATGTGTAACCACTACGACACCAGGGCTCCTACCTTAAAATCTATTGGGGGAGTACATTTTTTTCTTCTTTAAAAAGTCCATGAAAAATCTTTAACCGAATCTCACAACAGAAGCAGTTCACTCCCATAAAGATTCACCTCCTTGGAAACCGTATGAGGCCATTCTAGTCTGTCCGAACAGGGCTGTTTTGAGTCAGAATTGTCAGATGGCAAAGGTTTGGGTTTAGAAGTGAAGAAACGATGCACTTACTGATTGGAAATCACTTTCCCTTTCAATTAAGCAAGTTGTATGCTTAATTAAAGGAGAGAAAACAGGAACTAACAAAGAATTCACATCATTTCTATCCCTCACCCCACTCCCACTACCTATAAGGTATCAAATGCTTTATTCTGAGCACTTTTCTCACAACTGGGAATTGGCCAGGTAAGCCTATGTAACGCTGGATTAGAATTTCAGAACTAAGTTCAAATTTTTTTTAAGTACGAACTTCAACAACACACAAGTGTAAATTTTATGCCCCCCAAATCATAACTTATCATTAACAAAGGGTTCTAAAAGCATTTGTATAGTGTGGGAGTTCTCTTTTGTCAAACTTACTCTCTCGACCTAAGTCACCTAGTGCTCCTGTTAGCGCTCTGCGACCATCACTCTGGTTCTAGGGTTTAGAGACTTACCAGTAGTTTGAAAAGGCACATTTGTAAAAGCACTGCGGAAATCCACGTTGAGTGCTCTTTTGAGTACATTCAAAGTGATGTAGGAAAGGCTGGTGTATAAGTAACTGTTAATAGCCAAAACCACCGTGTAGGAGCCGATGATTCCACAAGTCAGTATGTTCAGCTGTGGAGGAGGGGAAGAATTTAGGCACCATCCCTAGAAGAACAAGAAGCTCCTGGCCTCAATTCTGGCACATCAAAGGAGCCAGGTCTCAGATACTTATAAAAAGACACCGAGAACAGCCTTCAACGTCCAGTGAGGTCTTGAAAGACACTTTATGACAAAATACCACAGAAAATATATTTGTGGTGAAGAATTTTAAACCTGAAGTCTACGGAGGTGAAGAACTGGACTTTTAGAGACAGCCGAAAATCACGATCCATCCATTTGCTGACAACAAAAAGCCTGCCCTTCTCTGCTTCTACCGTGAGCAGGGCATACTGCCGGAGGGATCGCGATGTCACCAGCATCAGCAGATCTTTTCTCCTGCTTCCTCTGCTAGAGTATCAGACAGCCCCACCCCATTCGTGAAAAACGAGCGGCTGACAGCCAGGGGCAATTTCATAAACAAACCCAACTTCGGATGAACACTCACTATTCTTAGGCAGCCCACGAAAACTATTGGAATGACAACAGCGATACATGAGAAGGTCACCCAAAACACTACATCATCACGAAAAATCTTCACATTTCCTAAGGGGGTGGGTGAGAAAAAGAAATCAAGAGTCAGTAACAAATTCACCCAGTTAAGTCATTTTCTCAACAGCTAATCACAGGCACACATCAAAGGTTTACATAATATCCAGGAATTATCTAGGTAAACACAAAAAATTCTGATTTTCTTCATTTACTGTCAACACAATCCTGTTTGAAAGGTGTATCCTACCAGTGTGTGTATGGCTTGGGGGGGCACATCAAGCAGGTCAGTGCTCTGCACTTACTATCATGAGAATCTACATGAGGGCAGGGAAATTCAGGGGCACACCCGATGGCAAAGTGGTCAAATCACACAGCTGCTAGCCAAGAGGTGAGCAGTTTGAACCCCACAGCCACTCTACGAGAGAAATGTGGCACTTGGCTTCTGCAAAGATTTATAACCTAAACTCTGGGGAGCATTTTGACTCTACCTATAGGACTGAAATGGGCCGAATCGGCTAGACTGCAGAGGGTTCGTTTGGTTTTGATTTTTTTTTTTTTGTCTCAAGGGCAGGGGGTTTATTTTGCATGTGTACCTTTTTTTTTTT